ATATCAGGCACGTGTCCCACTGCAGGCCGGTCAACACGAGTTCCATTAACCTCTGGAACGTAGCAGGGGCGGCGTTCCAACCCATGGGGAGACAATTAAACTGAAAAAGGCCCTGCGGCGTACGAAAAGCCGTCTTTTCACTCGACGATTCGTCCAAGGGGAGCTTCCAGAACCCCGAAGAGAGGTCGAGAGTAGAAAAAAATTTCTCCCCAGACAAGGCATCGAGGGAATCATCCATACGCGGCAGGGGGTAAGCGTCTGCAACCGAAACTTTGTTTAACCTCCAAAAATCAACACAAAATTGCAGGCTACCATCCTTCTTCTTCACCAGGACCACTGGAGCACCCCTTGGGCTGTTGGACGGAGAGATAATGTCGGCGGCCAGCATATCATCTACTGCGCCGCGGACGTGATCCCTCTCCGCTGGGTTCAACCGATGCAGATTCATATGAATGGGACTAGCATCCCCGGTATCAATGTGATGGGAGAGCAGTGAGGTGCGCCCCATTTCGAAATCACCTTTGCTAAAGACGTCAGAATATTTGGACAGCAGCGCGCAAAGCGCGGATCACTGGTACATAGTCAGGGACGCGTTTTCCTGACACAACCCGGCGATCCAGCGATTGTCCTGCGACTTAGAAGCCGAAACCCCCGCCACGAGACCCTGGCAATCCGCATCATCATGGGCTGTAAAAGCGGTCATGGCATGGGCCAAGACTGTACCGGCCGAAACCACAACATTGTCCGCACCTTCGTTTAACACTTGCAAAAACGGAGGCTGACCCGGCCGAACAATCGTCCGGGCTGCGACCAGCGCCAGGCCACCCGTAACAGCGTTGGACAGCGACAACAACAAACCCTTCGCCCCCTCAACCCCAGGCACGAGTTTCCGATAGCACAGCGGAATGAGCATCTGCGAGCCCGGCGGAATGTCGACTGAAACGTCGGACAGCGCCTGCACCGGGAGGTTCGGGGTGGACCGGCCCCACGGCGACGTCAAAAAGAAAATCTTACGGCCCGCCGGTAACTCAATACAACCCTTATCGACCCTTATCTGAATCGGCATCTTTGCCAGAAAATCGGTCCCCAATAAGCAAGGCACAGCGAGGGACCTGGAGATCAACACCTTCCCCAAAGCCGACACATCCCCAATGGAAATGTGTGCTTCCACCTGACCCATGATGCCCATACTTTCCCCGTTAGCAGCAACACATGAATCGAAAACCGGTCGTACCCGCGACGGCGGAATGGATAGGAGATGGAATATAACATCCGAGATGATAGTGGCTGACGCGCCTGAATTGACTAAAATCCACACGTCAATCCCCTGTATAGAGCCCGGCACGGTCGAAGACCCAGTGCCGGCCGCAACGACTCTGCGAGCCAGTTTCCGCCACTGCGTCATCGTCCAATGCGGATCACTTAGAGTCCCCCCGTTAGAACAGGCACCCGGAACGCACTCCGACAACGATGAATGAGGTGACAGGCCTTGCCGGGTGTCTGATGCGTACCGACTTGCCTGACACGGGTCACCGTCCGACGTCGATGGTGCGTCCTTGGTCGGGGACTCGGGCGAAGAGGTGAACGAGGTCGACTCCGGCAGTCACGCGCAAAATGTCCGAGACGTCCGCAGCGATAACACGCCATGTCGGCCCATCGCCCGGCCCCCCCGCCCCCCCCAGCGTTTTTGGGTTAGATCGCGTTATTTATAAATGTGTCGTAACCCTCCACCACCCGACACGGTCAATCAGCAAAAAAGTGTCACGTTGACAAAAGACAAATAGTTCACTGTTTTAGCCCACCGGTGAATTGCCCGATGATGCTGGATGCAATTACCAGCAAAACGTCATACTCAAAAGTTGTAAATGTTGTGGTTTCACGCTTCAACACAGCGGTGGGCTAAAGCAGTTAACTATTTGTCTTTTGTCAACGTGACACTTTTTTGCTGATTGGCCGTGTCGGGTGGTGAAAGGTTACGACACATTTATAAATAACACGCGATCTAACCCAAAAACCTTGATTATGAATAATATTGGTCGCGAAAGCCTACGTGTTAAACTTAACATTTATAATTGGAATCTCAGCTACACTGTAACATGCTCCTCACATTTCCGCTTTCAAATTAAGAAGCTTCAAATCTTGACGATGCTCCCAGCACGTGTAGGGAACGTCACAGACGTCGCACTGATCAACAAGGGGCATAACCTGAAAGTGCATCTGAGAGAGGCACAACGCGTAATCTGCACACCGCACTCCGATGTGCACTGCCGCTCACCAATCCAAGCGCCACAGTCTAGGTTCAACCCTGCGTAGCTTCAAAGATCTCAAAAAAAGTCGGCGACATTCCGGGTTGATTTGGCCACAGCCTCTTTTGAAATCTACCAACCACTATACTCTTTGCTTCTTTCTGTAAAGTCACGCAGGTAGAGAAAATAAAATAATAATAAATCACGACGTTTCGACCACAACACAAGTAGTCGTCATCAGGAAATATTTCCTGATGACGACCGCTTGTGTGATGACGACTACTTGTGTTGCGATCGAAACGTCGTGATTTTTTTTTCTACCTGCGTGACTTTCCAGAAAGAACCAAAGAGTATGCATTCTTGCAGTCACGAAACCTTCAAGTCAAGATTCTACCATGCACTTCCATTATTCAGCGCGCCCCGCGAATCCCTGTGGTGGAATGGCAGCGCCCTCACATGGCGCACACCAACACCTCTCCAGGCCCTGCTGGGACCCAAAGGGCGTCTGAGAATTGGTCGCGATTCGTGACTCGGTCCGCAACTCTGGACCAGTGCCTGCAGTGAAACAATGAACCCCACGTGACCCCCAAAATCCCCATCTCCCCCACCCCCTAGGGGTCCCTCCTCTCACGTGACAACCCCCAAGCCCCCCCCCCCCCAGACAACTCCCATCTACCTCACACCCCTTCAATAGCACCCCACACACCCTCCCCCTACCTCTACCCCTCCCCCTGGTGGTTGTTGCTGTGGTGGTGGTTGTTGTTGTGGTGGTTGTCGTAGTGGTGGTTGTTGTTGTTGCTCTACCGCCTTCGCCTGACGAGCACCAGGGCCACGTGGCGCCCTCGTGGGGAGTTCCCAGCAACGTCAGTGGTGATTCATCACCCCCCCCCTCCACAGTGCTGGGTCACAGCAGCGAGGCTGCAGGTTGCCCCTCAGGGCTTCTGTTTGTTTTTGTTGTCGCCAACGCGGTGACGTGGTGACGTCACAGCGAGGCTGCAGGTTGCCCCTCAGGGCCTCTGTTTTTGTTGTCGTCAGCGCGGAGACGTGGTGACGTCACAGCGGAACTCCCCCAGTGGCGGGAATCCAGAATGTCAGAATCTGTGTTTGTAGTGCAGGAGGAATCCGATGAGCTGTGAAGCTCTTTGTGTTCACAGATGGTGCAGTGGTGAGGGGGGGCGTGGGGGGAGAGGGGGGGCAGTGACGTGGTGACATCACCACGTTGAGGGAGCGTGCGTGGTGACGTCACCACGTTCATGACGTATTAGCATCAGCAGATTACGTGAGCAGCTGGGACATTGTTGGCGCCTTTTATGTTAAGCGCCATCTCTGTATTTGTTTATTAATTTGAAGATATAATTTGCTTGGCAGTGGCTCTGTAGAGCATTTGGTCCTCGTGTTTAATTAATGAACAGCGTTGCGGGATGCAGTGAGCACGAATGACGCTGTACACAACTACATTGTTGTTGTTTGTGTTCTATATATTTATTTTAGAATCGACGATACAAGCGTTACAACGCCACTGTCGTACGTGTACATTTATAATTTGTATTATTAATATTATTATTGTTGTATATTTTTCCACAACCCATGGCACCACCGGTGTATAAACACATCCCAGTTCACCATTGCTAATCACTGCACCCCTACACTACAGTCCCACGCCTCTGGCAAGGTGAATACATCCACGTTGGCATCACACACACACAGAGCGGTAGATATTGTATCACCCCCACCCAATGAAGGTTGTGAGGATTAATTCTAGATTTGAAGCTTTCGTGATTGCAAGGATCCATACTCTTTGTTTTTTTCGGTAAAGTCACGTAGGTTAAACATAAAAAACTAATAAATGAAACCACGACGTTTCGGAGGCAACACACGCCTCCGTCTTCAGGTGGCACCGTCACATCAAAATTACTGTATCAAGTGAAGAGAGCTCTAAGAGACACGACCTTGTATACTGGTTAAGGGGAGAGCGGAGGAGCCAGGATGGGCCGTGGGGGGGGGTTATAAGCTGGTGAGGTGACGCTTGGCGCTGCAGCCGAGGCCTTCTGATGTAGATGGCATACGTAGATAAGCGAGCTAGGATTATGCCGCCATTTTTTATGCACGCTGGTGCATAACAAAGGGCGAGGAGACGAAACGACATATTTCTGACCGAATTCGCGAGCACAAATCAGATTTGAAACACTGTAGAACGAATTCTTCGGCCGTAGCTGATCATTGTTTCAACACAGCGGGTTCTCATGACATCGTTTTCTCCGATACCAAAGAACTCTGCAAACCTCCCGGGAACTACCAAAGATTTGTCCATGAAGCCATCCAGATATACAAACATAGACACAACTTCAACCGAGAGGATGGTTTTAAATCAAGTAATAATTGGAAAGATGTCATCAACCAAGCCAAACTCTAGCTGCCTTATAAGTGTACAGCCATAGTATGTTTTAAGCTTTTTTCACACACTGCTTACCTGCAACCCACCGGCAGCATAATCCTAGCTCGCTTATCTACTTACACCATCTACATCACAAGGCATCGTCTGCAGCTCCAGGCGTATCCGCACTGCTCGTCACCTCACCAGCTTATAACCCCCCCCCCCCCTCACTGCCCATCCTCTTCACTTGATACAGTAATGTTGCTGTGAAGGTGTCACCTGAAGACGGAGGCTTGTATTGCCTCCGAAACGTCGTGATTTTATTTATGTTTTTCTTTTTAACCTACGTGACTTTACCGACAAAACCAAAGAGTGTTGTGAGGATTGTTTACGCTCAGCCCCCCCGGTTGTGATGGAGAGCCACGCAGCCCCTAGCCACCGACAGCCACCTGCCAGCCACGGGCGTGGCGCTGCGCGTGACGGTGACGAGGGTGGCTAGCGCCGTGCGTCGTGGTGAATGCCCTCTGTGCTGTTCACGTTCACCTCTCTCAGCACGCACCACTAAGATCCATAATCCTCACTGAGGCACCAACACCACTCCACCACAGGAACAGCCCAGGGTGTAGGGGCTGAGTGAAGGTTTGGTGAAACGAGTGCAACGGCGCCATAGAGTCAGCGCTGTAAAACGACAGCAGCCCCGCGTCCCAGTCCAGATGGACCCCGATTCTCCGCGGAGGCTCCGACACCGACAGTGAGATCTCTACCCCGCCATGCCGCACTGAGAAGCTGTCGCCATCTTTCTCTAGACACCAGGAGACGTCACTCCCTCCCAGGCCGCACCCAGCATCACCCCCTCTCCGTGGGATCGTCCCGTACGCGACTCCAACCCGACACCACAGCGCACTCCCCACGTCCACCTCCCAGTAGTGCTGACCCGACGAGAAGCTCTCAGAGCACAGGGCTTGTGGACAGCTCTCAAACCGGTGTGGGTGATGGGGGCGACCCTGGGGGACACCGCTCCCCGTCACCGTCCTGAGATCCGAGGAAATCTGGAGGCGGTTGTGGGCTGAGTTTGTGTCCAGAGTCGGTGAGCATACATCTGTGACATTAAGACACACACACGTGGTTTGTACACACACACGTGGCGTGTACACACACACACGTGGCGTGTACACACACGTGGCGTATACACACACACGTTAGCGTGTACACACACACAAAAGTGGCGTGTACACACACACTAACGTGGCGTGTACACACACACACACAAACGTGGCGTGTACACACACATAAACGTGGCGTGTACACACACACACAAGTGGCGTGTACACACGCACACGTGTTGTATACACACACACGTGGCGTGTACACACGCACACGTGGCGTGTACACACACACTGGTGTTGTGTTGTCTGTTGTGTTGTTGTGGTCACACCACACTACGTGATACGTTCATACGTAACGCTGTGATAATCACGCGTATGACAAATACATACAGGACTGGTATTAGTGTACTCAAACTAATATTCGTTAGTATTAGTGTACACATACTAATATTAGTTAGTATTAGTGTACACAAACTAATATTCGTAAGTATTTGTGTACATAGACTAATATTCGTTAGTATTAGTGTGCACACACTAATAATGTTCGTTAGTATTAGTGTACACATACTAAATTCGTTAGTCGAAGTGTAAACAAAATAATATTCGTTAGTATCTGTGTACTAATACTGATATAATCTCTGGTGAATAATAATAATTAGTGAATAATAATAATAAATAATAATACATAATAACAATAGTACTGCATTAACATGACCATGGATGTGTGTGCAGTGTTAGTGAACAGTGGTAATGATGCTAGCACCACGATGCGAACGCCACTCTCACAGCGTCTCTCTACAAACACGACGCCTGTACCACAGCCACCACAGCCTCGCACACTCTCACGCCCACACAAAGACATTGTGTGTCACAGCCTCGCACACTCTCACATCCACACACAGACATTGTGTGTCAAAGCCTTGTAAACCCTCACATCCACGCACATACATTGTGTGTCACAGCCTCGCACACTCTCACATCCACACACAGACATTGTGTGTCACAACCTCGCACACTCTCACATCCAAGAACAGACATTGTGTGTCACAGCCTCGCACACTCTAAAATCCACACACAGACATTGTATGTCACTCCACTGCTGGATGAGCGCCTCCCCGCGCCGTGCGCGTCTTGGGGGGGGGTTATTTTACCATACTTCCCTGCTCTCGTCGGTGCGTGTTGGCGATGGTGGGGATCGTGAACGTCGAAGCTTAGAGGTGCAATACAACAATGGATCACGTTACTCTGCTCTCTGCTGGTGTGATGTGTAAACATTCGGCACGAGAGAGACAAAGGCGGCCGGGCGTGGTGCTCGCCACCCACCCCCTCGTGTGCCATGTCGGCCTTCATAGGTGCTGCTGCTCGCTGACAGCACTTGCCCCAGTACCCAGCAGTAGGGTTTAGTAGAATATTGAAACTGTTAAACTAATTTTATTTCACCTGGTAGAGCCCACTGATCCATGTCGCCGTCTGTCTCCCCATGGTTGCGTGGATTTCCCCTACTTCCTCGCATTTTTCCCTCCGCATTTAGAATAATTTTGCATTCCGAGGATTTGACTGCTGCTATAAATATCCACGTGATGACCCACTTCGTAGAGCTGGGATTTGTGATAGTCAAGTCGCTTCCGAACAAAAAGCGACATGGTTCAGTGAGTTCTTTACCTGGTAAAATAATATGAAAAGGGGGGTGCACACAGAAGTGCAGTGCAACAGAGCGTGGCACCCGGGTGCTAGACTGAGGAACTCACCGACGACTCTTTCAAAGGAGCGGATCGTGGTGACGTCCAGTGAAGTGGCAGGTGGGGGTGCAGATTCCTTTCGGAACTTTTTCCTGGAACAACCAGCAACAGCATCACACACAGCCTCGTTTAACCACAGCATCGGACACTCATCCATAGCACACGCAGCACATGTCTCACACACAGCCTATGACTATCACACAGCCCGTGTCTCACACAGACCGTGTCTTACACGCAGCCCATGTCACACAGGCAGTGTCTCACACGAAGTTAAAGACAAAGATCCCCGATATAGCCTTAACAGACTGTAAGGGCAAATGCTGTTAGCGAGCACCTATGAAGGACAGAATGGTACACGAGTGGATGGGTGGCCAGCACCATGCCCGACAACCGTTGTCTCCAAAGTGGCGATGTTTACCCACCATACCATGTACTAATTTGAGGCTGAGTCTACCTAGAGGAGGCCCAGGACCGGTTCAGATAATCGTCACTGGAGTTGTCAGTGAGCAGAAATCGAACCCAGATCGCCGGGTTCTCAGCACGGTGTCACATATACAGCCAGAGTTTAACACAGCCCGTGTCTCACACAGCCCGTATCTCAAACACAGACCTGTCTCACAGAGCCCCTGTCTCACACACAGCTAGTGTCTCAGACACAGCCCGTGTCTCACACACAGCTTGTGTTTCACACACAGCCAGTGTCTCACACAGCCCGTGTCTCAAACACAGCCCGTGTCTCACAGAGCCCCTGTCTCACACACAGCCAGTGTCTCACACAGCCCGTGTCTCACACAGCCAGTATCTCACATAGCCCGTTGTCACACATAGCCTCTGTCTCAAACACAGCCCTTGTCTCACACACAGTCAGTGTCTCACACGCAGCCCATGTCTCACGCACAGCCCGTGTCTCACACACAGTCAGTGTCTCACACACAGCCCGTGTCGCACGCACAGCCCGTGTCTCACGCACAGTCAGTGTCTCACACAACAACAACAACCGCCATTCGTCAGTAAGTGGCGGTGACGTCACCACGACGCTTGTGCCAGGCTATATGCACCTTGAGGTCACGTGAAGTGTCGATCGCCCGCTGGCAGGAGGTCATGGGGCAGACCCAAATGCCGCAGGTCGACTGACTGAGATGACTGGCTGATGCACCACCTGTGCCCCTATTGTGCCAACTTGCTGTGCTTTAGCAACCCGGTGCTCCACTCGTTATTGTGAGTGTTTCTCCTCCGCCCTCTGTTGTTGTTGGAGGGCTACTGCCTCCAACTGCCCAGTAGCGTCCTTCACGCGCCTCCTCTACAGAGGCCGATCTTGACACGGCTAGTACCAATCCTCGGCAAGTCCACTCAGCTCCACGTCCTCCTGGACCACATCACCTCATCTTTTCTCTAGCCGTGCCACACACATTTAGCCCCCTCGATCTGGCCGAACAAAAGCTGTTTAGGCATGCGGTGGCTGGGCATGCGGGCTACATGGCCTAACCAACGCAGCCTTGCCTGCCGGAGGAGCTCACCACTGGGACTTTGTCCAGATCTTTCAAGGATTTGTGAGATCCTCACACAATCCAGCCTGGTTAAATCCAGGATGAATCGTAGGCAGGCCAGCCTAAATGTTTCTAACCGGCGACAATGTTCCATTCAGGGGGTCCACGTTTCACAATCGTAGAGAAGGAGGGAATGACCGTGGCCGAGAAGACCTGAAGCTTCGTGCGTAGCGAGAGACCAGGTAGCTTCCACACAGCGTTACGCAACTGATGAAAAGATAATGCCGATCGACTGATTCGGTGTGAGACGTCTGCTGTTAAGCTGGAGCTGGTCATGAGCACACTGCCCAGGTATGGGAAACTCTCCACTCTCTCCACAACTGCCCGATCAACAATCGGGAGTTGTGCTGGTGGAGTTCCCGATGGTACAAAATACCCAGGCAGGTGCTTATTTTTGGTGGGGCTGATGGTAAGGCCCCACCTCTTAGTGGCAAGATCCAGGTTCAGCAGCAGCACTTCCAACTCCTCCTCTGAGTGAGCAGCAATCATCAGATCATCGGCATACTAAATATGATTGAGCAACAGTGAGCCATTCCTTGACCACACCCGGTCATCGATCAGCCTGCCTTTGTATCTGTATCAGATGGAAATTCCTCCGGTACAGCCATTGAAGGCTTCAATAACTACGTGGTCAAAATATATGTTAAATAATGTGGGAGCCAGAGGACATCCCTGTCGCACCCCAAGGTGTTCAGGGAATGGCTCTGACTCCCGGCGACATAGTCCTTAATGATTGTGAGGAAAGGGTCAGGGACTCCGAAAGCATAACGAAAACCCAGAGCCCAGGCCTACTGATGGAATCATAGGCCTTGACCACGTCAATAAAGCAAAGATATAGGTCTTGTTGGAATTCCCTACACCACTGCTGTAGCAGACGGACAGAAAATATGGCATCCAATTCCTCAAACCGCATTGGGGCTCCACAAGACTTTCCTCTGCGTGCCTTGCAAGACGATGTTGAATAATCCTTGCCAGGATCCTTCCCGACACACTGAGGAGTGAGATGCCCCTGTAGTTGTTACAGTCTGTGCGGTCCCCCTTCTTAAATAGGGGGACCAGCAGGGCATCCTTCCAATCCTGCGGAACCCCTCCAGTGGTCCAGACTGTTGTTATGATGTCATGTAGGGTAGTCTGTGCACAAACGCCATCCCCCCTCAGCATTTCGCTTGGGAGATCATCTCTGCCCTGTGTCTTTCCTGGTCTCAGACTTTGGATCGCCTTCAGTACTTCCTCAACAGATGACACCTCATCCAGCCATTCACAGTGAGTGACTTCTTCCTCCAATATTCGAGGCACCACAACCACATCAGGGTAATCCCCACTTTGTCCCATGTTGTTTTCCTGGGTGATTAATTCCCCCTCGACCAGGACCTCACAGAAATGCTCAGCAAATCTGCAAACCTGTACCTGGCGGTTGGAGATTGGATCATCGTTCTTTACCCTAATTATGGTAATAGGTGTGGCACTGCAGGTTACTTTTTTGATGGAATTAAGGAGTGATATGTGATCGCAGGCCACTGATGCAGACTCCATCTCCTCAGCAACCTGCGACTATCACCCATCCTTGCAGCGCCTCATGGCTCTCCAAATCTCCGAGCGAAGGCTGCGGTAAGCCTCCTCATTCTCCGACGTGGGATGCTGTAGCCGATGAGAGGTGGGCCTGTCGCTTTTTCTAAGTCAGCAGGAACACCTCCTCTGTCAGCCAGGGTCTCTGGGAAGGTGTGGATCGTGTACCCAAAGCAGCCATTGCAGCTGCCTTAGGCACCGTCCTAAACTACGCCCATTTCCCCTCGACATCGGGAGGAGTGGGGGACGATTCGAACCCCAGCTGCAAGCGATGATGAAATTCTCGCTTGCAACTTTCATCAGCTAGCTGAGACCATGCCACTAATGGTGTGAATGGGGCCCTGGGTGTACACACACAGGCAGTGTCTCACATACAGTCATTGTCTAACACACAGCTCGTGTCTCACACACTGCACGTGTCTCACACGCAACCCGTGTCTCACGCAGCCCGTGCCTCACACACAGCCCGAGTCTCACACAGCCTCTCTCTCAAGCACAGCCAGTGCCTCACAGACATCTTGTATGTCTTACACACATACATATCGTGTGTCTAACACAGAGCCCGTGTGTCTAACACACACAGCCCGTGTGTCTAACATACACATCCTGTGTTGTGAGTGTTAAACCGTGAGACGTGATGATTTGTACCTGCGCATCAACTCCAGGTGCCTCTGTGGAAGAGAGAGAGAGATCATGAGTGAAGTCTCTACCAATTGACCACGAGCCCCTCTGCCACTGCCCGCTCTGTTGTTCTGGACACCGAAACGGCGTCTCCACAGAGGTGCTCCCCACCTGCAGGAAGGCGAGCGAGTCCTTCTCATGCTTCAGATTGTACAGGCGAGCGGCCATCGCCTGGAGCTCCCCGATCTCCCGCTTGTGACGAGCGATGTCCTCGTCTATCCGGGACAGCAGCTCGCGCTCCTTCACGGCCACGCGATGTAGAGCCTCCTTCTCTTCCTCGTTCAGAGCCTTCCTTAGGCGGGCGAACTTGCCCGTGATGCGACCCCTGATCCCGGCCACCGATTCCTGCGGAGACGCGGGGACCACGGTTGGCTCCAAAAGCCATAAGTCACTCCGTGTGTGCGTGTGGGCGCAATGGTGGCTAGGAGATGTTGACTCCCTCGCCTGGTATACAGCAGGTCGTGTGTTCGATCCCTATCCTGAGGCCTGTATATTTGGAGTTTGTTCTCTCTGTAGTTGTTTGGATTTTTTTTCGGATCCTCCGGTTTTTGCCTCCACATTTAGGATCAACGTCGCGCATTTAAAGTATTTGGCTGCTATCAATTTCCACGTTACAATCAGCCACTTTGTTGAGCTTTCATTCGTAATAGCCAGGTCGCTTATGAAAAAGAACCTTCCCTGGTAAACAAAATAGTTTAGTCTATGGGTCTCTATGGGTTTATATGTGTTTCTATAGGTATCTAGGTCTCTCTCTGGTCTCTATAAACAGGGTGTTTAAAAAGATAGACCCGATTTGAAATCGCTATTTCTCTGCAACCACGAACCGCCCATGAATGAAACTCTTACCACTTGAAAGGGCAGGGCATATACTTTCAAATGATTACCGCTAGATTCCTCTCCCAGCGCACAAACAGCCCCTAGTCTCAGTCATTCGCAAGATGGTGACCCCGCAACACAATGCGTTTTGCGTTCTGCAGTTCAGCAAGACTGAATCCGTAATTGCGGTGCAGCGTGCGTTTCAACGGCGTTTTGGCATTGGTTCGCCAATGTCAAAGAGCATTCGTCACCGGTACCGACAATTTGAGGAAACAGGCTGTTTATGTAAGGGGAAGAGCACAAGGCGACCACGCACCTCAGAGGAAAACGTGAGAAGAGAGGCGTTTGGGAAGAATTCAACTATCGTCTCGATGTTGTCCATAAAGCTGGTGGAGGGCACATAGCGCCTTTATAAAATGGTTATTAAAACATTAAACCGTTTGTTACTTTTCGTGTAATTGTAACATGTTGTCATTGTGAAATATACTGCTTTAAAATTGGGCCCATCTTTTTCAAACACCCATATCTATTTATATCTGTGTGTCTCTATGGGTGTGAAGAGTGTCTTTGGGTTCAAGCACGCGTTTAGAGTACAGTATTTAGAGTATTTGGTCATATCCATTTCCACCTGATAAGCCATTTCATTGAGCTATCATTTGTTAGATCCAGGTTCCTTCTGCAAAAGAGCTACATGGCTAAGTTTGTCATTACCTGGTAAGTTAAAACTAGTGTAGTCAATAGGTCTCCATGTATCTCTATTTGTCCCTATGTATAACTATTTGTCTCTATGTATCTCTATGGGTCTCTATATATCTCAATGTATCCCTATATATATATCTATGGGTCTGTATGTATCTCTATGGGTCTATTGTATATTTTCTCACGTGATGATGATGATGTCAGCCACTTTGTTGAGCTGCTATTATTTGTGACAGCGAGGGTAGCTTTTGAAAAATCTACATAGCCTTAACTAGCAATATAGAAATGTTGTAGTTTAAATAAACTCCAGTGACGCGATTAGGGACGGCGTTAGGTGCAGCTGTGAGGTGTTCGTGCCTCTGCGTCCGTGCCTGTGCACAACCTCCTGTGCAGTGCAACAGCTGCACCACAGCTCCACCCCGACAATCTGTGGCACTCTCTACACTTTTTTTTATGCCACAGGAATGGAAGACGCGATACCGCAACCTCTCAGCAGACTCGCCAATGCGGCTATCTAATGCAGTAAATGTGCAGCTCCCTCGTAGTTAATGTTGAGTTAGAAAATTAATGATATGATCTTGATTTGAAGCTTTCGTGACTGCAGAAATTTATACTCTTTGGTTATTTCTTGACTTTACTGAATTATATAGTTATAGTAAGAGGCATCAAAGTTATGATGCGACTTCCTCAATGGAATGAGGTCACGGGGGTCAAAGAGCCAAACACGGACATGGTACCTGCTCCTCCTTGCGAGCGGCCTCCATCCGCTTCAAGGACTCCTCCGCCTTCTTCCTCTTTTCCTCCACCGCTCGCGTCTCCTCCTCTACGCGCTTCTGTAGTGAGAGACGAGACGTCACCAGGGGAGACTCCAGCCCCTTAGCCACCTCTCACACCGCCCTTCCTTCCACACCGACCCCTCCAAAGTGAAGGCCATCATCTCCATGCGGCCTTTGTATGGCGACTGAGGGGGGGATGGGGAGAGGGCAAGCTGATGCTTCGTTGTAGCACCAGCCGGTGGGAGCCATACTGGCTTGGTGTCCGTACCGATTCGGACCTAAAAGCTCATGTGCCCACAGCTGCCTAGTTTAGAAGATAAATCTAATATAATTGTTTCTCAGGTGGCTGTGATATCAGTCTCAAATATTTGTCCAATTAATTTCTTCATACGGTAATTATGTTTAATGAAAGCGTAAACTTCAATACATCCTGAGGGTCTTTCCTGAAATGCAAACCAGAAGATTAGCTACACAGGCAGAGAGACAGAGAATCAAAAGGGAGAGCATGAACACATGATAGTTTTTGGCCTTCAGATGTTGTGTAGCCCAGTGACATAATTGGTCAGATCGTGTTACGGTGTCTCACTCTGAGGGCCTCACCTTCCGTGTCTTGTGCTCGTCCTTCAGCGTCAGGACCTTGTGCCATGTGTGTTTTCCTGCGATGGTGCAAGTTGAACAGACCAGGTTGCTGTCTACTGTGCAGTAGAATTCCAACTCCCTTTTGTGATAAGGACATCTTCGCTCATCCAAGCTTGCAGTGGGATCCACCACAGCGTGGTCTCTCAACCTGGGATTCTCCAGGTGAGGCCTAAAGTGAGAAAAACAGTAGGAAATCTCACATCTCAGGCAGGTCTTCACTGCAGGAGTCTGGCCGTCACCGCAGATGTCACACACAACGGCTGCAGCCATCCTGTATCCAACTCTGAGCTGCTTCGCAAGGGTTGGTGAGGGCTATGTTCCTCCTCAGCTGGGGTCGCACAGGGAAGGTCGCTCGGCACTGCGGGCAGCTCAAGCTGCTCCCCGTCTCCCAGGCGGCCTTCAGGCATCAGAAGCAGAACGAGTGTCCACAGCTCAGCGTGGATGGGCAGACGAACGTGTCCAGGCAGATGGAGCAGCGCAGCTCACTATCCACACTCTCACTGGGAGTCGCGCTCGCCATGACCCATGGCGTCGCTGAGATCGCTCGCTGTGTGGCTCAGAGAGATGCTGGACCAGGATCTCTCTCTTATATCGACGGTGAAGAAGGAAGTAAAATGCATTAAATGTTTTCATTGCCGTCACTGACATCACGTGACACTGCCTAGAATGTGAACCCGTGCCCCTAGGTGCACAAACAGCAGCCTCAAGGTGAACACGGATACCGTGTACACACCTTGACATTTAAAGAAATTAGTGCTCTTGTTAATATAAATCGGTGAGGCTCAGCTGATGTGGCTCATTCGTGCAATCAGTGTCGAGAGATACACTCATCCTTCTACAGCAAGTTGGTGGCAATATGTTATCTCCCTCGCCCGGTATCCAGGAGGTCGTGGGTTTAATCGCGACCCTGACGCCTGCTTAAATATTTAAAGTTGACATCTCTCTCTCCGTGGTCGCGTTAATTTTTCTCCGAGTCCTCCGATTTTCTCTCCACATTTACAATCAACATCCCCTAGTCAGATTAGTTAGCTGCAATACAGTTTCACATGATAAGCCATCATTTGTGGCCAGGTGGTTTCTGAAACATAGCCACATTGCTCAGTGACCCTTACCTGGAAAAATAAAAATAGTTGGTATAATTTTCGATTTAAAGCTTTCGTGACTGCAGGGATTCATCTTATTGGTTCTTTCGGTAAAGTCACGTAGAAGGAAAATAATAAAATAATAAAAATAAAACATTAAATAATTCTCACGACGTTTCGGCCACAACGCAAGCAGCCGTCTTCAGGTGGAGAACAGGTCTGTCAAGGAGACAGAGTCTGAATGGCACGCCCCAGGCTTGGAGCGACTATTTATGCTGGGATGGAGGGGCGAAGAGCGTCTTGATAAAATAATTTGCATATCAAGAGGAATTTAGCATATTTATGGGAAATGTAGATATGCGATTAGTACTAGTGAAATGCGTAGGAGGTTTGGCGAGAGGTTTAAAGTCATTATGCCCATGCATTATGCAGGATTAGCAGTATCAAAGGGAGGGAGTAAGGTTAGAATTAATAAAGGAAGGAATGTTAATAATATGTCGCGCAGCAACTAATATGCTTATAGACTATACATTGTAATATTACACTTAGTATTATTCTACTCACCCAACTGTATACCACACTGCTATATATTCACTATGGCAGTGTGGTATACAGTGCTATATATTCACTATAGCAGTGTGGTATACGGCTGCTTGCGTTGTGGCCGAAACGTCGTGAGAATTATTTTATTATGTTTTATTTTTGTTATTTTATTATTTCCCTTCTACGTGACTTTACCGAAAGAACCAAGAAGATAGTTGGTATAGTTGTAGATATCTCATGATGTCCTGTAACTCCATCTCAGTGTAATTACCCCAACGTGATGAGTTTCTTGAATGTCATCGTGGCATCCGAGATGGGATTTGTCTGTAGCCTCCTGTGACCCAACCTGGAATCTGAGAATTTTGCTAGCAGTGTGAATTTATCACCAACTCTACCTGCCTCTATCACTTACTGCTGGCGTTGTCACGGTCTCTCACTCTCACCTTGTCTGAGACTGCAGATCCCCGTGCCGACCATTCAAAGCCGCTCCCACCGCACCTGCGTTGTTGTTTCACATTCACACGCATGGCTACTCAACACGCATGCACACGCAGCAACACAGATGGGAATCGGAGTTCCCCATGATTGTAAAAAATTAAATAAAAACTAACCTATGTTTTTATTTATTTTACCAGGTGTCATGCCCCACTGAACTATTAGCTTATTTTTCATAAGAAACCTGCCCATCCCAAATTATAGCTCAACAAAGTGGATCATCATGTGGGAAATGCATAGTAGCCAAATAATCTAAATACTGCACTCTAAACGCTACTTGAACCCGGAGACGCTCTCTTGGGCTCTGTGGGTTGTTCACAGCAGATAACGAATGCTTTAGACTCTACACCCCAGTCGGACTCGTGGGAAAACCCGACATAGATTACGCTGAACACCCGGCCTGGACTCATCCACTCTACTTACTAACGGATAAACACGCAGAACTGCGTTTGAAAGCTTCCTTCTACAAGGTCACCAATGCGAGTGAATGGGGTTCCCATGATGTCCACGGCTCATTCCTCAGTGCAGCAGCAGCGACGGCTCAGTGCTCAGTGAGGCGCATTGGCTCCAGGCATGGCAGGCAGCGTGATCCGCCGCGGGTTTTGCAGCCAACAAATCCTTGCAGCGTCCCGGGAGAGCCGCTTAGGTGAGGGCTCAGAACACCTAGAGTGCCAAGCAGCCCACACCCGGCTACGCATTCAGTTACACACACACTCACACACACTCACTCACACACACTCATTCACACACTCACACAGGGGCCTACGGTCTCTCTCTCTAACTCACCACTTGTATACAGCGTTTGTGGACTCCCGTACATTAATCTGCGTGTTTCTAGTCTGTGTGTCTTTTAAAAAGTCATCTGTGTCCCGCCTGTGTTGTATCTATGCCTTTTCCAATATTTATATGAAGAGTGATATTGCCTATTTTCAACGTAACAGTTTTTTTATCTCCATATTTCTGGATTTAGCGCGGTCTAAAAAAAGGCTTCATACGAATTACGTAAATTATCCACGACCAGAATAATATGTTTTCCAGGGGTATATACAGAGCCTGCCCAACCGCCTTTGTCTTCCCAGTGGCGCCCCTCATAACCATTTACGGCCTTCAGCCAGGAAAGTCACGACATGTGCACACGAACGACGCATTCACGCAAGCACCCGATGCTCCGTTTTATATTAAACATATTTTAATTTTATTGTTTTGAATGATAAAATTACGTTTCTTAATTAAAAAAATTATATCATTTTGCATCTGGAAGACTTAATTGTAAACGACATTTCACGTGAATTTTCTCTCGTCGTTACGTAGATGTCCTTGCTGGGGGTTCGGTTCGATGCGGACTTTCACCTGGTTGGGATTGTGGGATCGAGATAGAGTTGGCCGTGTGAGAAGACCGCCGTCGGCAGATCGATTCCAACGTAATCGAAAGTCTGTCCCTGCGACTTGTTGCTTGTGATAGCGTATGCGAGGAGAATGAGAAATTGTCGTCATCGCAAAACAAATGGCAAAGTCGTGTCGGTGGGGGCCAAGTCGATTCTTGGAATCAACACCGAATCGCCTCGGTTACACTCAGAGATGATCAGATCCTTGATGAAATTTCTCGCGAAGCTCTTCGACAATCAGTCGCGTGCCATTCCAAAGTCCTTTCTTTGAGTCGAGATTCTGCAGAAGCATGATGATGACGCCCTTCTTCAGCAGCAGGACGTGTGGTGGCATTCCCGAAAGCGTCTGGTCATTAAGAAACTCGACTGGAAAATGCATTGTGTCGCTGGGATCTTCGCTCACGACTGAATCGACGCTGTAGTAGATGGCGGCCTTGCCAGGCATCTGTCCAATGATCTTGTGGTTAATTTCTGTCTGTGCATTGGTTGGTGCGACAATGACTCGCTTCGAAAGGTCGTCTATAGACATATCTCCAATGCTGCCGAATATGGATTCGATGAGATCCATCCATTGCCACCATCTACTCCGGGATTTGAATTGTGCTCTCTGCAACGATTCCTGGCATTGGGGGCAAGCTGCCTGTTCCCACTTTAAGCAGCCATTCGTTGTGCTCATTTTGTCCCTCGCTGCGTATGTTTGTCGTTAGCATGAGCTGCGTGGAACTGGCTTGCCTTGATACAGCACTCAATGATGTTCGTTCGCGTTCCTCGCGGCACAATTGGAAGACAAACAAACACAAGATCCAGGTCCGATTCAGTACAGTACACAAAATCCGTGATCTGATCCCATCCGTAAAGGATGTCATTTCTGACTTACAGTACCCTGGTGTCTACAAACTGAGTTGCACCTGTGGTGATTGTTATATAGGGGAAACGAAACGACATATTTCTGACTGCATTTGTGAACACAAGTCAGATTTGAAACACGGTAGAACGAATTCTTCGGCCGTAGCTGACCACTGTTATAACACTTCGGGAACTCGATGGTGTAGACATGCACCTTCGATTCTCCAAACACGACGTGTTTGGTCAGATCGTCGATCAGAGCATCCAACTTGATTTTGAATACACGCGTCACTAAGTCGGGTCGAAATTAGTTAATTAGCTGTACGGGGGTTGCCCCTAGCAACGCAGGTGCGTCGTCGGTGGAGGGTGGGGGGGATTTCTCCTTCGCGTTAAAAATGCAACAAAAATACACGCAACACTCAGGTAAATTCATCAAGGTGTCATGTCGTCTTCTCTCCCCCCTCCCCACCCCAATGTGTGCACTTACTACTATAGGGTCGGTACATACTAAAATTATAGTGCTTACATAGTATTATTGTAGCGTGGGCGGGGGAATGGTGGGGGGGGGGTAGCGCCCCAGCCCCCAGACTGGCGATAGGCGAGGCCGCGGGCTCTGCATGGGACTAGGCCTCACCACGGCAATGTAAAGTACAATTTTATTGAATCTTTTGATAAGACCTCAGCTTCTCATAGTTTACTATTATTAAACAAATAAGTTGTCAGATATTACAATAATAATGTTTGTGTGCCGATGATAACTCAGGTTCATTGTTTACTATTATGAAGCAAATAAGTTGGCAAATATTACAATAATGTTTGTGTGCACGTAACAACTCATTGTTTACTATTATGAAGCAAATACTTTGGAAAATATTACAATAATAATGTTTGTGTGCAGAAAACGTATTTTTCATGTTTATGTTGCTAAATATTCCCTTTTTTCCTGTATTTTTTGTACGTTGCGATGGTGTAATGCCAGTCTGTGCTGTGGCCTGCTGTCTGCTGATTAATTAATGTCAGTGCACTGCCACTCTATTAT